GCCCCGGCCCGGCGGGGAGACAGAGCCCGGCCTAGAATGGTGCCCGCTAAAGCACGCGGTGCGGCTGCTGTGCCGGGGCTGCCTTCTGGGCTCGCACAAAGCAGAGCGGAGCAGCCTCGTGCCGCGCTCGGTGTCCTTGCTGGTGCGTGTCGCCTCCCGCTTGTGCCTCTGGCGTGCTAGTTTATAGGCCCCGCGGATTCGTCGGGAGCGGCAGGCRCCAATGCCGTCCCCCTGACATCCTGAGGTTCTCTGTCCTTTGGACAGAGTAATCATTTCCCATGTGCCGATTCTAGCTCGGGACATGTAGTGACAGCCAGGTGGCGAGCACAGTCAGATGGGATGGATCAGTGTTGAAGGACAGGCCTAGTGACACTGGATCAAGGCACTGTGAAAGGGGGTGCAAATTTCTTTGAAATGAGCCAGCACACCTTGTCGGTGGTATTCAGGCTCCCTCACTCGTCCCAAATGGAGCCTTTCCCAAGGACTCCATTTTCTGGACGTTGCACCCATTTGTGGTGCATGATTTGGAGGCCCAACAAGTAGTCCTCCTTCGTGTGGAAGTAATCCCAGACGACTTGCTTGTAAGGACATATTTCACAACAGCCATAACCCACTGTGTTGTTTTGACCCATTCCCTGTATATGTCTTTCAACATGTGAAAGTGTTTGCATCCTGCATGGCAAAAACAGCCCCCTTATTGTTATGAGCCAGATGTCCCTTATCTGAGGGGTTTCTGAGGCTGGCTCAGTAGTAAAATTCTCCTAACTGATTTCCAGAGTGGGTACAAACATCTTTCACAGCTGGTGAGATTATCATCATTTTGCTCTTCAGCTTCAGTTATCAGTGGTGCGATGAGGTACATGTGTTGATGAAAGCTTATGGGCAAGGGGAAGAGCTGATCAGAGTAGCATCTTCTGGCATTTAGAGTGGAATTCAGCTTCCCTGACTTGAAAATCTAAAGATGGTAGGTTAGATTTAAACACCATCCCYGTAATGATAGACATCAAAGATGCCTAGGTGAGACTTCCAGAAGTTCCAATTTCTTTCAGGGCCTAAAGAAGGAACTGTCAGGGGACTGGTTCCATTTCAGACACCTACATTTTTCAGGCTGAAGGGCACATGGATGGCACTTCTGGTGGAAGGAATTGCATGTTATCTCATAACATTGAAGAGAATGCTAGAGAACCTCYTAAATGCCTGGATAATGTGCAGAAGAGTCTACCTATGGGTGTGGGGAAGGCTGAAGAGATGTGAGGTTGTGCGTATAGGTTCAGGCATAGSTATGGCACATATGTAGTCATAGAACTAGAATTGTGTTATTTAAAAGACTGATTCAAACCTTGTAAGTGTTAAGAATTCTTGAGACCAGCATGGATGATGGAACACTGCAGAGGTGATGCAGCCTGGGCAATCTGCTGTAGGGAACCAAGAGAAAAGAGTAAAGAAGTGCTGGCCGCATGGGGGCCAAACAACAGTAGACAGACAGTGCATGGCTTCATTCATGTTGAAGTCCAGTGTGTTAGGCTGGTTTAATGGCAATGCTGTCAGAGTGCTGTGAAGAATTGTGCCATAGGGATTGGCAGAAGCTAACTGCCTAAATAACAGAGTGCACACGTGGCCATAGCTAGGACCTGCTCATCCAACCCATCCATCCTGCTGCCATTGTCTTTCTAGCTTGTGGAAGTCATCCCTACATGTTCCAGTTGCTTGTTTGCAGCGTTCAAATAGCTGAGGTATTGGTAATGGTGATAGGCAAGTTGTTGGGAGACTCTTTCCAATTGGCTTGATCCATGGTGGACATTTGTATAATGACTACTGTGGTGAAGGTTTTCCACATCTTAAGTTGCCAGATAAGTACTTCACATTGGCAGGGTCACTTGCATTCATTTGTCACACTCCCCAGAAGCAGCTCAGGCTGTCATTCAGGAGCCACCTCTGGTGCTTTACAYCTTTCTAGAAGAAAATAAATGGAATATGATCTCTTTATTTCCTTTCTCCCTGCATTATGGGATCACCATTTCCCATTCATACCACTGCCCCCCTGCTCTCATGTGGATGACTGTCTTTACTGCATATCTCCAGAATGCAGGGAGCAGCATCCTATGAAATCTAGACTAATGGTGCTCTACAAATTGCTTGTAGGAAGCACCCACTAGCCCCATATTTCTAGCGAAGTCTTCAGCACAGTTAAATTGCTCTTTCTTCTTGTTCACAGTGCGTAAACAAGAGATCATTAAGATAACAGAGCAGCTGATAGAGGCCATCAACAATGGAGATTTTGAGGCTTATACGTAAGTAGAGATGCTTTCTGACAGGTTGGTTATCACTTTGTGTGCAAATGATGCTCTGGCTCCTGGATATGCAGAGTAGTCATGCAGTCAGGGATGGTAAAAGGTTTTATCCTTTTTAGCCTGTATCACTTAGGAGTAAGGGATAGAGTAATAGAGCTCTAAATRAATATTAAGTTAGATATCAAACAGCAATAGGGCCAACAAAAGGAAAATGTCCTGGGTTTGTAAGAAAAGTACAGGGGAGGGCAATGAGATGAGCAGAAAGAGAATAAAAGAAAAGGCAGAAACATAGAGGTTTGTTTTATGTGAAATGCCATCTAGATGGCTCCATGAGCTGCAGCAGGGGCTGAGTCTTCAKGACCTTGTTTCTTGGAACAGAGGGATGTAGTTAGGTGGACACAGGCTGTGAGTCAAATGGCATACGAGCGCTTGACTGTGTGAATAGCACTTGATGCAAACTGTAAGCCTGTGCTGCTTTTCTTTGCAGAAAAATCTGTGATCCTGGCTTGACCTCATTTGAACCTGAAGCACTGGGGAACCTGGTTGAAGGAATGGATTTCCATAAGTTTTACTTTGAAAACTGTGAGTGGGTAGCTTTGGTAACACCAACACCTTTCTCTCTAATTATGTCACATTTTGTGGGAAAAATTGCCCTTGTYTTTACTGTCTGTCAGAATCAGCAAGAACTTAATTGTGCTTGGATTATGATGCACTCATAAAATCCAGCAGCCTTTCTCTCAAAAAGCCTGTTCAGCAACAATTTCAATTCTAACCCCCACATCCCTTCACTGTAGGCGTAAAGCTTGCCAGGTGCAAATGTTTTGTACCTGGCAGGGACTTGAGGAGCTTTAAAAGTTTGAGGCACTGGACTTCTTACTGATATAAAAATGGAAAAAAAAAATCAGATTTTGATGGAATCAACATATATGTCATAGACAGACTGAATGSTGAGGCATAAAGATGCTTTTGCTTTGAGTTTTCCCTGGATGATTTCAGATCTCTAACACCTAATGATCCTTTCACATAGATATAAGGGTCACCTTGTCAGCATGGGGCAGGAAAGAGTTGGGAGAAATGCTATCATTTATACTAGTGAATTTGTCTCCCTTCCTGGATGTCTCCACAGCATGAGATAATTGAAATTTAAATCCTGAGCTGTTCAATCYGTTTTATTTTAGGGGTTAGGTCAAGGTCTTTAGTATGAGCACTTCGTAGTGCTCAAGTAGAGAYTGTCTCTCTCAACAGCCTTTTATGGAGTGATTTTAACTCTTCTCTAAGGCTTGTTCATATTCAATGCTGGCCTAACTTAAAGATCTTCCAATTATTGACTACTTTGCAACAATATTCTGTAAGTAAAAGATCTTTTCCTATAATTGAAGATACAGCAACATTGATGTTGAAAAAACAGGGATAYGCTTTGCAGAAGAAGTGGGGGAAAAGGGGCCAGGGGATTCTAGGCAGTAAGTGTGCAATTCTTAAGGAGAACAACAGGTGATAGGGGAAAGAATTGCTCAGATTTTGCCAGAAAAATCGGAGGTGCAATTTTTATTGTATTCTAGAATCCAATAGTGGAAGGTGAGTAGAATATAGAGAGGCTGGAGAAGGTGGGAGGCTGTTCCTTCTTAGTAGTAAACCTAATCTGATGGTTTTGCATGTCCTGCCAGTACTGTCGAAGAACAGCAAGCCAATCCACACGACCATCCTGAACCCGCACGTCCACGTCATTGGGGAGGATGCCGCCTGCATCGCGTACATCCGCCTGACGCAGTACATCGACGGCCAGGGCCGGCCCCGCACCACGCAGTCCGAGGAGACCCGTGTCTGGCACCGCCGAGATGGCAAGTGGCTCAATGTCCACTACCACTGCTCTGGAGCTCCTGCAGCACCTCTCCAGTGAGGATCAAATACGGGTATGAACTGTTAGGGAAGGAGTGTATCACACACACGGCCAGGGCTGCTCTGTRTGGGAATTCAGCATTCAAGGGCATTTAGCTGACTGTGAGAGAACAGTATTTAGTTGTCTGTCGGCTGAAAACTTCAGCTTGTAGATGCTGTTCCTTTAAGTCCTATCCTGGACTGAGTAGGGTTATCTGCCACTCCTAGCGAATGGGAGTCATGTACCAGACACTTGTTCCTGAGYGTAAGTACCCTTGTAGCAGCTGTGCTTCCTCCCAGGTGCTCAGGTCTATGCTGGACTAACAGCTAATCCAGAGCAGAGAGGAAGAGCATCTCATGCTGTGCACAGGTTGGCCGTTTCACATCTGCCTTTACATGCTGGGGGTGATTTCAGATTAYTTTTTTGATGAGTATGTCAAATTGTAGAAAGGATATTGTAGAATGCATACAGAACAATTTATATGCCATAAGGGGCAAAGGTTTATTCTTATAAATTTTACTACTGATTTTCTGATAAGCAAAAGCTATTTAATGTACCATGTTGAGAAAACTCAGAGGGGAAAAACTCTAAACAAATAGAAAACTCAGAGGGTTTTAAATATCCCCCAATTAACAAACCACAATTCAGCAATGGAAGAAATTTAATTCTAAAATTGGTCATGAAGAAATGATTGTTGCTTGCTCCTGAAGGATGAGAGATCMATTAACTTCTTCAGCATTAAGGCATTCTGGTTTATTGCCTTATTGGTTTCATTTAGTTTCTGTGTCTTTTTGTTTTATGCTGAAATATATGTCACATTTATTTTAAAGATCTAAGTTTTCTAATGTTAGGACTTTTTGACTAAAGATTTTCCATTTAGGGGCAAACACAACAAACATCTACAACTGGGAGGCAAGCATTTTTTAATGTGGTCATTTTAGGATGAACCACTCAAGTACAGGTGCTATTTGAGTCCTAATTCTCTGAACTACTTGGGAGTAAGCCAAGAGCAGTTTGTATTCATATGTGTTGTGAGGTATTCACCCATACTAAAGGCAATGGAAAGGAATGTGAGCTATCRTAAGCAAACTGCAGAGGTCACAGATGGAATTTGAAAAGCAAAAGCCAGTTGGGGGCACCAGAAGCAGGGAAGCTTACAAGAGAGCTGGATAATCAGCCAAATTTCCAGGGAGTAAGACAGTGAGAAAAATCGAGCCTTTGCAGGAAAACAAAACAAAAAACTTGCATCAGATTGCATCACAGGAATGTTGAGGGAGATGTCTGTCCTGGATTCAGTCCAAAGAAAGATGCAGAAGAAATTATTAAATTAAAGATTGGTATGGYTCAGTGGCTATGGCCTAGGAGTTCTGAGGAAGTTTAGGAATGGAAAGTCTACTGCGAAGAGGTATGTTTCTTGGCTGTGGAAATGCTGAAGCCCTCCAAAAGTATGTGCTGGAAGGTTTCTGAAAACTGCAGAGCAGAAGCTATTTCCAAACCACAAAATGTTGGTTAAAATAATATTTAAAAATACCCTGTAAACTAAATAGAAGTTGAAGTATTTGCATACATTTCTGGGTTCTGAAGGAGGTGTACCCACATTACAATGTGGGGTCCATGTGGGCAGCCCCCATCTGAATGCAATGGATCATTTTGGAACAGTGTTCCATGTGCAGTGAAAGCTAAGGATGAATGAGGTGAGTAAGAATACTTAAATARAAATCAGTGGTTTCTTCTCACCTGGAAGGCAGAGTTCAGTTCTGAGTAAATCATCTCAAAAGGAAACTGCAGCCAGAAAAGAAGTTAGATATTAATCAGATGACTTCTGTTTAAGGAGAAAGTAGGGACCAAGAAGGGAGAAGACTAATAAGGAATATTCTAGAAAGATTTGCAAACTAAGAAGTGGTAGAAAGAAGGTTTTGGCTATATTTTCATGATAGGATAATGCTAAACAGACAGGAAAAAAAAACCCCAGACTTAAAACTGATCAAAATAAATCCAGTAATTTGGCACAGGAAGATTAACTAGGAGGAGTCTTTGCTACAAGCAGTCACTAGGGCTACAATTTGACAAAACTGCGGAAAAGCTCCTACATTTGTGTAAATATTAGGAAGTTCAGAGACAAAATAACTGAAGAATAAAAAAAAAAGACAAACAAGAAAAACATAATTATCTTTCAGTACAAGGCAAAAGCTAGTGGAAAGTGAGRCAGAAACTGTTCCTTTGGACCAGAGCCTTTGAGCACCCCTTAGGAAACTTCTTTAACTTCTGGATCATCACTGTGAGATAGTGGGCCCAGGGCTGCTCCAAAGCAGCATGTAATACATTTTAGCAATTAGTTCATTTTCACTGGCATGCTCAACCACCTGGGAGGGGAAGTGAGTGCATCTTGTCGTCAGAGCTGTCCTTGTGAGCTCTTTTTAAGCTAGGGGTTTCTACCTACACCAAAATATTTGCCTGTAGAAAACTTGGGGTTTTAATTGTGTACAGCTAATGTTTGGCTTTATTTCCTTTCATCCTCCATCCTGTTCTCCTCTCTCCTTTCTGGGTGGACACTACCTCTTCCTGACTGCAGCATCTTGTGGAGATACTCAGCTGGAGGGCAATATCTTCTTAGCAAGCAGCTCTGGAGTGCCTGAGTGACAGCAACGGTCATGTCTGTTTTGACGTTAAAAAAATAAATACAAATTACAAACAGGCAGCAGCCAAATGCACGAAACCCTGCATGCATCTGATGCTCCGGGCGCTGCCTTTCTGTTGTTTTCCATGGATCCATCGTGTCTGTTTCTGCTGTACGAAGGTGTTTTTAAATCTAAAAAAAAGACATGTTGTTTGTATAAAATAATAAAAAACAGAAATAATGCTAAATAAATGACAGATTATCCAACATGCCCCCTCCCCCAGGGCTAAGAAAGTGGCAGCAGCCGGAACATCTTTCAGAAATGAAGTGAGGGGGAAAGCAAAAGTGAAGGAAAGAGAGAGGGAGAGCAAGAAAGGAGGCGGCTTGAGCAGCGGATGGCTGAACTGTGCTCCGCAAAGCGATGGTGGAAGCTAATACTGCATTCGGGCTGTGCTGCAATTACAGTCGATGAGAGGTGGCAAGGAGACCCCAGARGAGCCAGTGTGAAGACTGGGGTTCAAGAGAGAGGAGGTGCTTCTCTTCCTGTTACCCAGCAGTCTGACTTCAGCCTGTTTCTTCTTCGATTTCTGCACAGCAAGAACGCTATGGAAAGCTGGTTGCTCGGCTGCTGGATCCCAAAACAGACTTGTCTCTTTTTT